ACGATATAAAAAAAGCAAACATAATTCAAGTCAAGTATCATATCAGAATCCAAGTCATGTATCAGATCAGAATCCATGTCATATCAGATCAAAATCCAGGTCAGGTATCATAACAGAATTCAAATTTGAAATCAGATAAAATATTCATGTAATTAGGGAACACCAGAGTTTACAGGTATTATTTAGAGGTACTGTATCAGGCGAGAACACAGTTCTTCAGTATGTCGATAGAATGTTGGAATTTAGAATCTATTGGAAGAGTTCATTAACTGACATAATCAGTTATTCAGAATGTGAATTATCAGGATATTATCTTATTTGGACAGTTTTCAGAAGCTGTACGTAATCAGAAGGGTATTCAGAATCCTTTACATCCATGTCAATTGATCGGATAATCGAACAACTTGAGAACAAAGATTCAGAACCTTAACAATCTATGTCGACTGGTCAATTCATTTTTCTTCTAGGGTATTTACTCTTTAATACCACAAATTCTTGTATGTAGACCATTTTCGGAATCATCGCTGAATAAATCTTCCAATGTCTTTATTTCATTTCCACGCTTCCACAATATCATGAAATGCTGAGTACTTGATTAATTTGTTCATAACCCATTGTAATTGTACACTACGTAAATCATCAGAGTTTCCAGACTTATCCAAATCACTTATTAATCCTCGTCATTGAGGTTACCTAGTTCATTTAGCAGTCATGTCCATTCCAGTTACTTCAGATTTCCAGAGTAATTCAAACGTTCCTGAATTTCAGATACATGTTGTACTTCCATTTCATTCAATTTGGTCTTCGTGGTTGATTTGTCAAACCGACGTCCAATTCTTAGTACTGAATACGATCTAGAGCTGAGCTGAATACTTTCAAAATTTATCATCGAGCCAAACTTGAGAAGACGATACATGTTCCAGTAATATCTATGCCATTCAGGTATTGACATAGCTTTAGGGTTGATCTACTCACTTAAACTGTTTTCCATTACCTTTAAAGGTAATACCTATGCTTACTTGGATTCCTTAATTAATCCAAGACATTTACTTAATATAGGCCATAAGGGTATTTTGGTCATTTTGGTTTTCAGTTTTATCCAATCATAACAGAGCTCAAGGATATTCCATCATTCCTAAGCTTGGTGATATCTTGGGTCATTTCTATTACAGGGTAATTTGGTCATTTTACAGATCCACAGTATTTCAATCTTTTTCCTCCATCCGGTCTTATTATTAATTCCATTTATCATCTATTTCAGTCCGTTCGAACAATTCTGATAAAAGAGCACCCTCCGATAAATTGTTCTTCAGGTATTACTCATAACTCGGATATTTTCGGGTCAAGTGCCTTCTCGATTTTACAAACGCAATATTATGAATTTTTCTTTACAAAGACAGAATATTAATAATTAATTTGTACTTAATCGCGTTAAGTACAAATCCTCAAAGTGCTTTCTCCTTTAGGGTCAACTCTGACTATTTTACCTCTCAAGGGCATTTTCGTAATTTTTAACCAGATAATTTCGATCTTGAAATGATTCCTTAAAAATTCTAGTATCTAGTATAAACCTTATTGGGGTTAAACCCGGTTATCCATAATTTCCAAGTAAACTAACATTTCTTATGCACATCAATAGTTTAGCAGATCAATATTTTTTCAGATTTATTAATCCACTTCCAGGGACAATCTTGTCATTTTCCAACATAAGGGTAATTTCGTAATTTTACCTAATCGAAATATTCTCATAATTTATCATCTAAGTACCTTTAATGAGATAAATTATAATCTACATATCCATGGTTGATTCTTTTATCACTTAATTCAAGAACTTGTAATTTAATTCCAACTGTCCTCCAATTTCTTATAATAGTAATCTAAGCCATATTCAGTTACCTACTTTCTACCGTATTCGTATCTAGTGTAGATCTTCATTAATTATACATACGAGACCAACATTTCCATTCATGCATTTACCATACCAACATGTTCTATAAAACATAAAGAGGTAGTAAAGTATTACCTCGATTTCTGTGCAATACTGATCGACCATAAAATTCCATTCGAACGCCTTTGATCTTTAATTCAACTTCCAATAATTCCTCAGATATATATCAACAAAAATTATATAAAAAACGGAGCTTAATTACGATAAACGATCGAATCAGGTGATAAATTAGTGAAAAATAGCTTACCGGTTCGAATTTGGCGAAACGGACTTCGGTTTTCAGGACGTCGAAAGCATAAAATATGACTTTTCAGAAATTTGGAATTTTCGGTCAAAATCAAAGTCAACGGGTTTGACTGGCAATTTAGAGGCCTTCGGGTTCAAATTTCAAAAAACGGACAGTAGAATCGGATTTGGAACGTCGAAAAATGTCAGGATAGGTATACTCGGTCAAAGTCAAAGGTCGTTTAATGCCCGGTAAAAGCCAGTCAAAGTTTTGGTCAATAGTGGTCAACGTCGGTCAACGGTCAACGGGTCAACGAGTAGGGTAAACGGGTCGGGTTATGACCGGTCAAACCGGTCAACTATGCACCAAAACCGGTCAAACCGGTCACTTTTGTCTTCCCCACGCGCAGTGGCTGCGCTTGGGGGCTCGTGAACAGTGCTCTGATATCAGAAAATTTCCGGAAAAATTCCTAAAAATTATTTTAAAGCGATTTCAAGATACTTACAAAGCTTGGTTCAAAATTTTGAACGGCGGAGAGCTCGATTTCGACGAATCGGAAACTTTGACTGCTTCACCTCCTCAAGTGTCGCCGTCAACGGAGACCAAGGATGACACCGGCGGACTCGAAACGATGCAATGAACACGATGGTGCGGGAGGTGTCGTAAACGGATGACCCGATCGTTGTGAATCGATGAAAAACCAACTAAAATCGAGTTATTACCGACGGTACTTCCGACTAAAATTAACGACGAACGGAGATGATTCACGACGAAAGGTTTGAGGGGGTTTTGTTCCTCGGTTGACAACAAACACGATGGTGGTTTCGGCTCATCGATCGGAGGTCGGACGACGAGTAGATCGGAGTTGAAAGAGGGGTTGACGAGAGAGGGAAAACTGGAAAAATTTCTAGAAACATATAGGAGATTGGGGTTTATAACATCTCATAATTAAAAATGGCCAAACCAAGAGTTTAGCCACTGAACTTCATGCACTTCATAAAACGGTATGTTAACTTTAAAATTTTGTAATTTAACCCATTGTTTCTTTCAAAATACCAAATTAAATCCACCACTTTATAATTTCTTAATTTTAACCCATAAATTGAGGTGTTACAGTTCTTTTCAGCAGCCTTGATATATGTCATAGGGTAAGAGTTATCTGAAAGCCGAGAGTAGGGTTTTTCTTTAATTTAACTCATATTTAATTTATTTTTCTAGATCATATAGTTATAGATGTTGTGAAAAGATTGCAAAACTCCAATCACATTTGTCCAAGCAGGCTCTATCAATTATTTGATTCTGATCGAAGGAAATTGATCTTCATGTACTTGGACACTTGGACTTGATGATGGGGTCAGTATGTAAAGCGAAAATCATCGCCTTTTTGAAGAAAAAGAATACCAGATTTAAAGACAGTTAATGTGGTTTGCTCATTTATTTAACGGCAGTTGAGTTAACATATTTCAAGTCAGTTTCTTTGATAAATTAATATTTCTTTTACTTTGTTAAATGTTTTTTGTTAAAAATTTTAAAGTCAAAATTTTAAATTTGATTATCATTATTTTGAATAACTAAATTTTATAAAGTATACGTTTAAAATTTATCTCTTAAGATTTTGAAAATATTTTTTTACATTTTTATTAATAATAAATTTTAAATAATAGAAAATTAAAGTTGAATATTTTTCACAAGAAGGTTAATAAAGATCCATTTTTTTTACATACAATAAAGAACCATTTGAATATAACAGATGGAGTTATGTATTTATTGACCAATAAGGTGGTGATACATTATAATATTCTCTCTTTAGAAATATTAATAAAAAATATTTTAAAAGTTTAGTGTCTGTCAAGTGTAGTTACCCTAAAATATTATTATATTTGTTAATAAAAAGGTTTGATGCACTTTTTATTGTCTAAATTATAATTTGGTGTCTAAAGAATTTTTTGTTAACAATAGGTACCTAACATTTCAAACGTTACATTTTTAGGTGTCTGGACCATAACAACTGTTAATTTGACTATTATCTGACACGTTTTACGCTCTGAGTATTTTATTTTTAATTTTTAAAAAAAAATCCCAACCGTCCCCTCCTCTATTCTTCATTCCACAACTGATCACAAGAATGGAAAGATGGTTATAGACAGCGACAATAACGACCGTCGATGGCAATAATGACAATGATGACAATTAAATTTAGGGTTATGGTTAAGGGTTGAGGGGTTTAAGTATTTAGGGATTTTAGGTGATGTCAAAGGTAATTACTGGTCAATGGGCGACGATGATAGATAAGTGACCTTTCGGCGATAGAGATGGTGGTAGGAGATAACTGGAGATAATCGACGACGGCTGAAAATGTGTTCAAATTGATAGATTTTAGGGTTTTGGGGTTATTTTGAAATTTTAAAAAAGAATGGGTTTTTATAAATACATTATTTTTTAAGTTTTTTCTTTATTTTATAAATAATATTTGTATTATTAAAAAATAAAAAAATATAACAGTAAGCAGTATAACGGAAAAAAATGTTAAACATAACTATTTTGAAGTATAATTTAAGTAGAAAGTGAATTAAGCCATAACAATGAAATTTAATGGAATGAAGATCTGAATTAATGGGAAGAGAGGTACAATACAAGTCAAAGAATGGAAGGGGGCAAGTGGGAGAAGACATGATTAGGCATATTCAGTGGGAAGCTTGCACAAGGCGAAGACCGTTAGTTGTTTTGTTTTTTATTTTGACATTGAAAATGACCAAACAAATGTCCATTGCGATTGACCTCTCATTTCAACCTTGGTTTCTGTCTTGCATTTCAAAGGATTCATCAAAGTCGCCGCTTAATTCGCTCTTCTTCAATCTCTTGTTTCTTTTTTATTCCATTCATCAATAAGATTGCAGTATGGCAGAGCTCCTTGATAACAAGGAAAGAATATCCAATAAACTAAACAAATTTCTCTGAATGAAATAACATCAATGTCTTCTTCTTCTATTCTTACAAATTACCCTCTTATTTGTGCTTTTATTGCCTTTGCTATTGCCCAATTTATCAAGTTCTTCACCTCCTGGTATTTCCCAAACTTAAATATTTGTTTTGTTTCTTTTTAATATTTGAGAATCATTTGGCTGCATGTCTAATATAATGGAATTTTGCTGTTAATTATCTTTCAATGAACTTATTTCCTATAACTTTCAATTGGGTAATTGCTGTTTTCATCATTGATGGAATAAAAAGGTGCCTTAGATTAATGGTATTCAATTGATTTGACCTGGTTCAGCAATCAATTTCAAATGAACTTCAAGTTCATAAGTACACCCAAAATTCAACATCTTGGACCTTGGGGTTTCTTTGATTATTCAAGCTGTAATTCTGGTCAGCTCTAGTTTGATTCAATTGATATTTTGTAATGATAACACTTCTTTAGTTTCCATGCTTTCTTTTACATTTTCTCATTACCCAATTGGTAGATTTTCGTTATGAAATTGAGAAGAAAAATTTTTAGTACACGGAAACATTTTAGGGGCTCATGCTGATAATTTGATAGATTAGAGTTGGGGGTCGCAAGCTTGTAGACCGATTGATATATGACAGTATTTGGTTTGCTATTCCCACTGGTTTTTCCTTGTTAAAGTTTTTGAGCTCTGCAGGTACAAGGAAAAGCGATGGGATATCAAGCAACTTGTGGGATCCGGTGGGATGCTTTCGTCCATTCTTACTGCTCTTGCTACTGCTATCGGATTCCAAGAAGGTTTTGGAGGATCATTTGCAACCGCAATGATCTTAGCATGCGTTGTATGATCCTTTGTTTCTCGTTTTATGGTTGGCTTGTAAAACTAGAAAATTACATCGAATGGAAGTCATTGTTTTCTTTGTTCCTGCTGGTGCTAATCTAGGCTTTTCCTAATACTGATTTCTAGTACCTGAGCAAAATGCAATATGGCTAATAAACTTATAATCAATGAATGGGGTTCTTATGTCACCAACACTGCCTACATTAGGTTGTGTTTTGATGGGATGGATTTGATTCGCAGGTAATGTATGATGCAACCGGTGTGAGATTACACGCTGGACGGCAGGCAGAGGTTCGGTTCTATTGCTCTCGTGTTCTCTATTTATATTCTCATTCCATGACTTTCCCAAAACGCAAATTTGTGCACTGTCTCTACCAATATTTTCTGAGTAATTGGATGTTGTAGAAGCTTTACTTATAAACTGCAGTTCCCATTATGAAATGGGATGCATAATCATTTGGTTTAAACTTGATTTCTTTCACTTATCCATTGCCAAATTGTATGTTTGTCAGGTCCTGAATCAAATTGTTTACGAATTTCCCGCTGAACATCCTCTGGCTGAGAGCAGACCATTACGTGAACTTCTCTGTCACAACCCTCCCCAGGTACGTTTGTGCAGCAGATTATCTGTAATAATTACTTGATCCACACTCTTGTTCTTGAACATCCTTCAGTTAAGCTTCTTTTTTCCCTTAAAAAAATAAATGTAGATTTCTAGGCAGTAGTTTTGTGGAAAGAATTATATACAAGGATAACCAGTTATAATTTTTAACCTTCCATCTCAATTGCAGGTTTTTGCTGGTGGACTGCTTGGTATTGTAACATCTGCTGCTGGTTATTTTATTTTCTAGGCAGTAAGGTAAATGCTGATGCTCATAGTTATCATAGATATCATTCTACAATAGCTTAGATGTTCGAACTTCGACTGTCACACAAAGGAACTGCAACTTGCAGACCTTTGCCCTCAATGGAGAGATTTCCAGGATTTGAGTACTACGTTTCAGATTTCCAGTAGAATCTTTTAACATTTAAATTATTTGTCTTGTATAATGGTGATAGATTGATGCATCTGCTCTGTCTGATCAAATGTAAATTGTTTATTCTCCTGTTGCATTATTGACAATTTTTTAGCATGATATTTTACTGGAATATCAACTTATTTGTTGATTAAAGGTGTATACTACAAGTTCGGGTTGAAAAAAAGAATCGAACTTAGCTATCTTATTGTCAAATCAAGCTCTCGAACAAGTCAAATCCCAGTATTTTAATACTGTGGTACTTATGCATAAAACAATACAACTGACCAGTATTCGAAGTCTTGGAGTTTCAAACATTCAAGATATGGTTCCATACTGGTTGACTTGAATCCTAAAATGGTAGAAAAAACCATTTTCATCTTTGCATAAGGATCCCCTACAATTCTTGACTTCGATCGCCAAGCAATGTGCTCGTCTGGCCTGACTAAAATGGCTCCTTGTTCCGTCATCTGACAAGTTCTCCACCATGACAGCGAATCAGATGACCTTTTAACCTCTATAGCGTCCATGTAGTTCTTCCAGGGTGCTAATTTTGCTTTGCTCCCACGATGAAATCCGGTAATGGTATCGGCTGGCCAAAGCATGCATACCTTGGAAGAAACTTTGTATTCCTTGGCAGCCTTAAATGCAGCTCGAGCTAGATTATAGGACTCCTCCATTGGTGCTATAATAAGAAGGAACTCAACTTTGTCTACAGACACAAGATCATGCGTCGAAATGGTTTCCTGCAATAATTTTAAGATGATTAGCTAAAAACAGTAGAACAGCTTGCTTTGGTTCAAATGCCTCTAAATCATCTGTCGATCGTGCTTCGAAGTTCATAAATCAATGACAAACATGCATAATTGATCAATAATATATTATACCAAGCAAATCCCATATTCAGTCTTCAAAACTCAAATAATATTAGTCATATTATCATTAATAACACCATAATCCATTCATAAAGCCGTGTGCCTATTGCTCATAACCTGTTAGAGAGGTCATTTGTTACCGTAGAAGACAAAACTACTTTTAAAGATTGTATGTGATTTGCTTAATACAATATTTGAATAATTATGCGAATGATTTATGAAATTCTCTATTTTCATTATAGTGATTCTTTAACCATTCAATAATACGATTCATTGATCAATTAATGTTTTTGAATGATTCTATATGATGTCCTGAAATGTGAAGCTGATCTTATGTGCCTGTGCGACTAACTGAATTAATGTTTTTGAATGATTCTACATGATGTCCTGAAATGAGAAGCTGATCTTATGTGTGTGTGTAACTGAATGCGGTTGTTCATTCCTTCCAGTACTAGATCGAGTCTGAGCTAGAATTGAGACATTACTAGTTATTTAAGACTTCTATTAAGCGAGAAGTTTATGCTTCATATACGCTTACAACAATTTTAGATGGGATACTTCTATATTACGGATGGAGATAGAAGTGTCATGTGTGACATTGATGATGGTAATACGGTTATCTTATGACAGTTATCAAACCGACATATGATGACAAATGAGAAACAAGAAAAGGGAAAAAACCTGAAAGGTGCATCATGGGATTATATATATAAATATATACCTCACTTGGAAAATTTGATAAAACCTTAACGTTCATATGAGGAAGCCTTGACCCTGGATCTGCACAGGGAACATAGTCCCTTCGACGGCCAGAGGGCAACTCAGGAGCAGGCACAACGTCTTTACTATCTGGAACAAGTGCTCCTTCAAGATACCTGAAGCACGTGCATAGATTACAAGAGAAATCATACCCAGCCATTATTTTAAAGATCAACAAGGTAATAAAAGTTTCGGAAATTGTTTAATTCCATCTACCATGGTTGGAAGTTTCAAACAATTCTATAGAATAATATTCATACCTAAATCCAAGATCCTCAGCAGGAAATTGGAGTTGAAGGCTCTTTCCTTCTTCAAAAATATGCCTTAGTTTAGCAAGCCTTGATGATCCAAGGGGGTTATTTTCATTTAAAATTAATCCTGAGAGCTGTGAACGACCTATCGAAAAAATTCCATCTAAAATAGCCTTCTGCATGCCAGATGGTAAAATGGAACCAACCCCCTTATTAATAACTTGGTGAACTGCATAACAAGCAAAAGGAAAAACAATGACCACCAATAAATTGAAATCAGAATATCTACCTTCAAGGGGTTTGCATGGCTCAAGATAAACAGTACAATTCTCAGAATCTCAGGGCAATGGGTACATTAATTTACCAGAATTCGCAACAGTTGGATCAAGACCAAGAGTTGCAGGAACTGCCATTGCTGCTCTGAAGTTCTGAACGCTAAGAGCTGTATTGAATACAGCAATCTGACAATGCAATAAACATGGAAGCAATGACCAAAGAACTCACGAATAAAAATGAATGAGAACAAAAGCAGAAAAGGCTGAAGCAATACCGGCTTACGTTCTGTTTCATATGTGGTAAGTATTGAAGATGGTGCAACACCTTTCAATACAGAAGCAATTTTCCAAGCCAAATTATGGGCATCCTGGATTCCTGTATTCATCCCTGCAAAATCCATGTTAAAATCCTATAAATGGTTTTTCCCGTACTATAACTAGTATGCAAGGAACCACACTTTACCAAACCAAGGAAGCTACAAAAAATATTTCACTATTTAATGTTAACTAGTTGCCAGCTGCAGGTGATAAAAAATGTTAATCCTGAATGATTGAGAAGTACATTTTTACGGTCGGCAAAAAAAATGTTGCTCACCAAAACCACCAGCAGGAGGGAAACGGTGGGCAGCATCTCCACAAAGCATTATTTGATTATTGCCACAAACAAATCTCTCAGCAACTTCAGCATGCATCACCCATGGCTTAATGTCAATCACATCTATATCTGAGAGCTCTTGACCAACCAATTTGAGTATTAACTTCTTGCATATCTACAAAAAGTTGCATTCTTCAAAGAAATAGTCATTGCAGCTTGTGAAGTTAACCGTTATTTACACATTGTATCTTATCATCTAAAAGTAAAGTCGGCCATGCATGTAATTTAATCAAGATGCTGAGGTAAGCTTATCCCCTAGTACCTAAATCAACCATTAAGTCAGCCATGTACATTTTCAGCACCAATGATGTAAATTGGTGGAACTAGTTAGTGCCTCGTAAATGTACTCTAATTCTTCATCCACTTGATTTTTCTCTCTTTTTAATGAGCAACGACAAAAAAGGGTTATCCTAAAGATCCAAATCTAAGATGAAATGAAATACCTCAGGGTTGAAATCTTCCAAGTTTTGTTGAGGAGGATAGAATGGGATCTGCAAGATGATGATAAACAAATCATCATCAGTATAGGGTGAATGTTAAAGTAGCAGTACTATGGAAACAGAGATGCAGAACATGTCCTATATCCTCCAATACCTGTAATATGAATTCCCCTTGTGTAAGATCATGAGCAACAAGAACCCCGATAGATTCAGTGTTGAAAATGAAAAAAAGCATTCCAGGCCTCTCATTAAGCAGGTATTGTCCGAGTTCTTTGCTCCAGAAATGAACACTCACAAGTTTTTGCAAGTCTTTTTCACCTTTCAATTCAATTCCAACAAGCTTTCTTACCGCACTTCCAGCACCATCAGCGCCGATAAGAATTTTAGACTTGATTTTTCTCGTCAACGGCTTACCTTCCTTGGAAAAAGAAACAGTTGTGGTAACACATTCATCAGTTGTGTCAATGGAGACACACTCATGCCCCATCAAGATTTCCCTTCCCCTGAGTGTCTCAGGATCAAGGCCTTCGAGATCTTCGATCGTGTGAATACCGAAACCAAGGTTCTCCAACATCTTAACAAGTATCCTAGTTAACTTGTACTGTGAGAAGTGCGCAACAGAGATTGGGCTAACAACTTTTTCAAAATCTGGCAACATATAACAAAAAATGGATTTATGGAACAATCTTTAATCACCTATATATCATCCACAAAAGCACAGCATGAATATCTATATTTAAAGCAGTCTAACTAAAAGAGCTGAATTGGAAGCAGCTACTGGCAAGCCGAAAACATATAACTATAGTTAAACAAACCTTTAGGATGCATATGGTCCACTGAACCTAGGATTGGACCTGTCAGCGAAGTACAGTATATGAATTTTCTCCATAAATTTACAGGTGGTTGTGACCTTTGAATCTCCTCTGCTAATCCATCCAATTTTCGAAACACCTAACGATCAGTAGTTACAAATTAAGCTCAATATACCTCTACCAGAGTAAAAAAAAAAAGTTACACTCAATCTTCCATAAACAAAGAAAACCGACCTCCATTGTTCGATTATTGATAAAATGAGCTTGCGGGTGCTGGGAGAAACCCTTGTTTTTCTCCAAAACCGAGCATTGCACACCTACAAGACATCACTATTCACTAGCTAAATAGATATTAAAAAGAAAAAAGAAAGAAACATTTACAATAAGCTGCATTTATCGCTCTGAAAAAAAATGATTAAACAAAGATGAAAAGAAATGACAATTTCCACGTAAAGAAGCTCATGGAAGTTGAAATTGTTCTCTAATTAAATATGTTTATACTGAAAAAGGGGGGGGGGGAATAAAGAAAACAACTATAGGTTAAATAACATACCGAATTTGTTGAGAAGAATCGAGAGAACGAGACCAACAGGTCCTGCACCAACAATCAAAACAGGAAGAAGAGAGTCATTGCCGTTGAGAATTTTGGAAGATGAGAAGTTTCTACATTGAATATTATAAGGGAGGAATCTGATTCTGGGTTTGGTTCTCTGGAGGAAGCTAAAGCCCTCGATAAACCCTGAAACCCCCATGATCCCAATGCAGCTGACGCTGAAGCAAAGTCGGAAAGACACGAAGATTCGTTCTGGGTTTGGTTCTACATTGAATATTATGAGTCCATTGCGTTAGCACCCAAACCCAGAGTACATGTGATCTTCAAAAAAAGGATAAATTACATGTTTAGTATTTAAATTATCAGTTATGATATGTTTTAGCACTTAAATTTCAATTTTCTTAAATTCATACCTAATATTTATTTTTTTGTCATTTTAGTATCCGTTAAAAACTTAACGTTAATTTTTGAAAACAATTGAAAGTTTAGGTACTAAAATGGACTAAATCTGATAATTTAGATACTAAATGCGTTAAGTTTTAGGTAAACTACACAAATGGTCACTAATATTTGAGTTAATTTTCGTTTTCCCCATTGAAGTTTCAAAAGTAACAAATTGATTACTAATGTTGTCAATTTATAACAAAATGATCACCCCACTATCATCTCTGTTAAAGTGATAATGTGGTAATGTTAATATATGATTAATATTTAGTTTTACTCCTAAACTATTGCTAAAACATCACGTAGGTTCTTAAACAATGATTTTATATTTAATCTACCAAAAGAATTAAATTTTTCTCTCAAAAAACTCCACCAACTCCACTATATTTGAACCACCTCTATTGCAAAGCGACACTCAAAAAATGAAACCTGGAGAAAATTTAATATTGTTAAAAAATTGAAGTATTGACATTTAAGGTTTATTTTTTCTTTTTCTTTTTTAACAATGGCAACTGAATTTCATTAATATTGGAAGGAATCAAAATTACAACGCATCAAAATGTGGGAAAAATTGGAGACAATAGTTACCAAAATACACATACAAAACTAAAATATTAAACCGAAAGATACAAAGAAAAATAAAACCTTCTATTGAGAATGACGGCCAAATCAAAATACAATAACCTTCATAAAATTCATTGTCTCCGTCGAATGATATGTTTTACGAAATGCTAGAGGAGTGGTGAGTAGACCAAACAATCTAGTAGGCTGCTTCTCTACACAACTCTGTTAGAGTATGCTCAAAGATCAATCATATTATGATTGTATTGATATATTTTCTTTACCATATTTATTGAATAAAGACATTACCATTATTTTATTTTGTTATATTTTTGTGCATTAAATAAACTAAAACATAATAATATACATATAATAATATGATTATTATTAAAAGATCCTTAGTCAAGTATTATTATGGGCATGAACAATAATAATACGCTTAAGACTAACATGTTATTGATTGATGATAATGAGTTGTCATTGACATAGAGATGTCAGAATTGATACATGCATATGTTGTTAGAGAACAATGTATTGGATTGACTCACTATGAGCATATAGATTATTATGTGATGGTCACGATATTGCTCATGGTGACAACTATATGTATGATCCTTAGACTTGAGATCATTACTATCTCAACATATGCTTTTGTATGTTTTGATACAGTTAAACATACTCTGTAACTGGTTGCACTATAAAGATTGACATTGAACATATCACAATTATCGTAACCGTCTTTCGGTTGGGCCCCGAATTGGGCTTCGACTTGAAAAATGTGGATTGAGAGTCGCCACCGATCATTTATTTAAAAATAAATGGGTTGATCGGAGACCCTATTTCTTACCTGATCTGCGTCTTACCAGAAATATGTCGGGCTCGAGAGTCGGTTACGGTCAAGGAAGGATTAGCACCCTTGAACCGCCCTTTCGGTACTATGTAATTTCCAGTTGTCTTAATTAAGAAAATTGTAATTTTAAATTAAAAGGTAAAATTTGATCATGAATTACTTACCTCTGATTAATTGATGAAAATACCCTTAAAAAGTCATAAGATGTGTTAGAGGGAAAAAATGAATAAATGAAAAAATGAAGAATAAAAATAAGTAAAAAATAAAAGGAAAAATAAATAAATAAATAAATAAATGAAATATTAATATATATATAAATGAGTAAAATAGAAAAATAATAATCATAAAAATAATGATAGTAATATGAAAATATAATATAATATAAACAAATAAAAAAAATCAAAAACAAAAACAAATAAATATATAAATCAAATATAAAAGTATACATATAATGATAATTGGCTTATAAATAAACTATTATAAACATACATATATACGTAAAATGATAAAGTAAAAAAAACTAAATAAAGATAATTACAATATATATATATATATATATAGTAATAATAGGCTTATAAGTAAAATATTTTAAAAAAAGTATATATATAAATAATAAATATAGTATTAAAAAATAACCAAATGAATATAAATAAATAAAAAATATATGTATATATAATATAATAATAATAATATATAGTGTAAACAAAATCAATTAAAAATCATTTAAAAAAACATACATATATATATTTATATAATGACAATAATGTAAATAATAAATAAATAAAAATATCTATACAATAAATAAAAGGATTAATATAAAGAAAAATAAAGATTGAGGTCAAATTTGAAAGACAATTAACGTTGATATTGCGCATTAGGGGGATAAAAAATGAACACGCCTCGGGGTAGATCTAGGTTCGAAACTTCGAAACCCCACCCATTTTTGGTCATCGGCGCAACCCATGTTTTGGGTTATTCGAACCAAATCTCAAAAAAATAACGTGCACATGCGAGAAATGAACGAATAAAAAAAATGCTACCTTTTATTTCCTTTTTCGAATCGTTTACAATAGCTTTGCTTTTGTATTTTCCGTGTTTTCCTCTGTATTTTGTCTGTAAATCTTGTGTTACAATAGTGAGTTACAATGACTATTTATAGTGTTTGTGGATCATATCTTTAGGAGTTTAAATCATAGTAGAACTCTATCCTATTTTTAGGAGTTTGAATCCTAGCAAAATTCTATCCTATTTTTAGGAGTTTGAATCCTAGTAGGACGAAAATGTGTGTTGACAGCTGCCCCTCTTTGCCCATAGTCGTGTAACGGGGATAGGGCAAAGATTAAAAGACACACTTTTCGTTCGGTGGAGTTAAAAATTGACTCTGATGTTTCAATAACTCCCTGTCGAATTGAGTTACGGATGACTCCTCCATCGTGAAGCCGAGTTCATCTTGAAATGATATGAAATTGAAGCCGTAGTTCGGAATTTGAATCAGCACGTGGCTTCTCGTTGCCCTTCGGTCTTCTTCTCGGTTTAAAGACCTTGGATCGGAATCGAACTCAGAAATCTTCATTGACATATAGTTTTTTCTTGAAAATGGTTGCTTGTCCCTAAGGCACGGTTAACCCAGGTCCTCTTCTCGACTTGAAAACCTCGTCTGCAACCGGAAAGTAGTGTGATTGATGTGTCATCGAGCTGAATGGAATCAAACTCCATAATTTTGATGGCATATAACCCTTCTAGCCTTGAGTTATGATGTAAATGATGTGCCTTGGAACTGAGCGTAGTCGAGCTCGAAGGTCTTTGTTGACAGATACTCCTTCTTTGAGTTGGATATCCTTCGTCGTGAAGTTGAAATCCAATCTAAAGATGGATGATGCTTGTGTGCACGATTCCCTTCGTCGTGAAGTTGAGCCTGAAATTGGATATCCTTCGTCGTGATGTTGAAATGTCTGCTTGATCTTTCTGAGAGTCGACATCTAGATTCCACTGATAGCACTCAGCCTCAAGTTCCTTTATCCTCTTCCCCAGATCATTGTTCACAGCTTCAAACTCTGTTTTGGCTATCTCAAGTCCAGAAGGGACATGCCTGAGATGCTCCTCCATGGTCCGTGTGTCCTCACAGTTTGGCACCGGGGTGTTGTCATTTTTTCCTAATCTTCGCCACTCTAAATAGTCTGGGGTAAGCATGTCTTTAGCAGCCACAATATACATCCGTAACACTTTCTTCCATGAATCGGCAATTTCTTTGATCCTCTTCTTATAACTATCACCGTGATACTTAAACTCTGATTTAGCTAGTCCGCATATTGCTGAGACAAACTGACGTGCCCCATAATGTCTAAGTGCTAACAATGGAGCATACCCAACTGCATCCCAAAGTTCAGGTAAGGTCATAGTGTCAGAATCCCCACATTGGAAAAGAATGTCACTGAGGAACAACCAGGGGGCTCTCCAAGTAATATCTCAGTCTTGATAGACGAGTGAAGACTTTCCATCCACTTCTCTTTTGAAGTTCCTTCATGCCATTTCATGGTGATGAACTCTCTCAAAGGTGAATACGTAGTGCTAAATCGGTGGTAGGTAACCCCATTAGTCTTCCAGAAGTGGTTGTGAATCCATACTTGAAGGAGCTGAACACATCCAATGAATCTACCTCCGCCAACTCTTCAGCAATGGTTGAGAGACCGAAAGGTCTCGGCTAAGATGGTTGGTGATGGGATGACCCATTTCGGAAGTTGCTCAAATAGTTCCAACACGGCTGCGTCAATGCATCCCAAAATCTTCGGAAAGATGATCAAGCCATACAGACCTAGTGCAAAAAAGGTCTATAGTCTTTCATTCATCAGGGTGGTCATTCATTAGTTTCCTTATGTGGATCCACTCAATTCCCTGCCCGTTACCTTTGTTTCGGAGTCGGTCAGTCACCCACTTTTCATCAACTCCTGCAATCTTAGCCAGTCTGTTCTTGAAAGGCTGACTCTTGATGTGTTTGATATAGGCTCGCTCCAGTTTAATGCTTTCACAGTGCAATAGTGTAGTATACTCCTCGATGGTAGGTACCATGTCCTCCTGGTTAAAAGTGAAGCAACTATATCCCGGGTTCCAGAATCGAACCAAGGCTCTAATTAAGGGTTCATCGGTCTTAACATTAAGCAAAAGTGCAATGTCACCATATCGCTGACTGAGCTTCTGTTTCCAATCATTCTTCCAACTGCCCAGATGTCCCGAAACTCTTGGACGTCGTTCTGCTTTAGGCTAATAGAGGCGCAGCTAACTAGTTCTAACACATAGCTTCCTTGAAGATTGTCTCCATTTTCCTTCTGAGTCTTCTCGGACCATAGTCGTACCTCGGGGTTTTTAATCTCTTGTATTACAACACCTTTATCCATTAATT